AGGCGACGTGACACCCTGGGTGGATCTCGCGGCCCCGGCCGCGATCTCCAACCCCCCCCAGGCAACATCCCCCACTTCGACGCCTGAGAGGTATTGAAAGGAGGAGGAGGAGGAGAAGAGGAAGAAGAAGAAGAAGAAGAAGAAGAAGAAGAAGAACAAGAAGAGGCGCCATGAAATCCAGGGAGATGCCATGGCCCCGGCCATCATATCCCCCCCCTGGTCACCACACCCCTCTTAAGGACGCCCCCTATCGCCACGGGGCCGTCAGAGCCCCGCCGCCAGGCGGGCCTGGGAAGATCGGCATCGGCGGCCAGACGCCGGCCGGTCGCACCCGCGTGCTCCCAATCCTTCTCTAAATCCACCTCCTCTTCCTCGTCCTCAGGTCCTCGGCCTCGTCCTCGTCCTCCTACTCCTCTTCCTCCCCTCCTTAATCCTCCTCCTCCTCCTCCTCCTCCTCCTCCTCCTCCTCCTCCTCCTCCTCCTCCTCCCCCTCCTCGACCTCCTCGTGCTTCTCCTTCTCCCCCCGCCACGCGATCCGACTCTGGAAACAAAGCCTGTGAAGGACCACAAGTACGGGACACAGCCGCGCCAGGCCCCCCTCATCGGCCTTTACGACTCCAGCGTTGTCTCGCGCAGGAGGTTGATGTTCCACGAATGTTGGTTCCAAGCACGAGCATCGCGCTATCGGATCAAACTGTCTGTGTTTTCGCCGCGCTCCATCATTAGTTTGCTGCCCCCGGCCAGAAAGAGTGTGCGGCGAGAAGGTGTAACCATGTGGGTGATCAATGTTTCCAGGCTACGAAATCATGTGACATCATATGGCCACATGTTTCTTATGGCAGCCTACCGCATCTTACCACATTGTGGCCGCCGCAATGGAGAAGCCGCGCATCCCGCCACCCCCAGTGCCACGCAATCGGATAATCTCGAAGCTTAGAGCGCTCGGTTTGGGCGCACCGAACTACCACCCCCCACAACTGAGCCTGCAGCTACGACCCCAGCAAAGGGACAACGGACGGGAGTTACGGCTCCTACACTGCCGGCACCCATCTCCTCCATCCACAACCTACACATCGATCGTCCACTTGTTATCCTCCAATTCGTCCTCCTCCACCTCCTGCTCCACATCGTCATCATCATCATCATCATCATCATCATCATCATCATCATCATCATCATCATCATCATCATCATCATCATCATCATCATCATCATCATCATCGACATCGCCATCGTCATCGTCATCGTCATCATCATCATCATCATCATCATCATCATCATCATCATCAGCAGCAGCAGCAGCAGCAGCAGCAGCACCATAATCATCCTCATCCTCGTCTTCATCCTCATCATCGTCACCACCACCACCATGGCCATGGCCCTCACCATCATCGCCATCATGTTAACCGGCAGCAGCAGCAGCACCACCACCACCACCATCACCACCATCACCGTCACCACCATCATGCGAAGGTCCAGCCTGCGCACACGAAGGCCCCGCCTCCGAGAGCGGAGGCGTTCAACGTCACCGCAGAGGCCCCCCCTCCTCGCGCTCCCCGAGGCCGAGGCCTCGACCTGGGAGGGCCTAGGGACCCACATATAAGTGGACACAAAAATCCCAGGATTTCCCATATTTTGGGGTTCTCGTCTTCCCCCCCTCTTCCCACATCTTCCCATACTTTCCTGGGAATCGGCGATGCATGGTGTCTGTGTGCTCTTTCCCCTCCCGAAAGCATCCCGACTCGGGAGGCGCGGCCCCCATCCTGCGCACGACGGGGGCAGGATGCGAAGAAGTGGGGCCTACAGCGGGCTGCAGAAGCAGAGTTCTCGTCGGCGCCGCGTGCTGGACGAGCGAGGATCGAGGACCGAGGGCTTCGGGCGCCTCTGGGCGGTTCGGGGCGCTCCAGGGAACTTGCCATCGCTCGGACGTGCATCCCCCGTGCACGTTTCGGCTTCGCGCGCGTTCTTTTCGCAAGATGATCTCCAAGATGCTCCTCGATGGTTCCCACCGAGAAAACTGCACACGTCCGAGCGATCCCGAGGGACGGGTCCCAGGGGCCAGAGAAGCTGCGGTTCGGCAAGCTCGCGTCGTGCCGACTTCGGCGTTGGTCTCTGCCATCGCGGGGATCGCTCCGCCTGGAACGATCGGCCGCCTCCGAAGCACCGGATCGCTCAAACATCGACCGTTTCTTGGCCGCTGGCGGCGTTTGACCTTGAACGCCCGCGCGCAGCGCGGGCGAACCTGCCGTAGGCTCTCAGCACGGCCGTCTCGGGCCTGGCTGGGCGGCAGCGCGTTCCAGGGCTCTCCCTGGTGTGCTCATGAAAAAAAACACGGAAGTGCTCCAGGATGGGACCTCTCCCTCTTTCCCTCCCTCTCTGCCCCTGGAGCTGGAGCGGGAGATCTCACTCACAGCCATCTTCGACCCAATGTTGATCACTCCTTCCAGGGTCGCCGACGGCGTTCCACGTGGAACGCCGGCGGCGTTGATCACGCCTTCCAGGGTCCGCGTCGTGTCGGCCGGCGGCGGGGTCGCCGCCGGCCGACACGACGCGGACCTACCGCAGTTGCTCTCCTTCATGGGGGAGCGGGGGGCAGGCCGCCGAATCGAACGCCGCGCCCGGGCGCGAAGCGCGGCCACCGCCCCGGCTGCCGCGCCGCCCTCCTGGAGGTGAGAGCCAGCCAGGGCCCCAGGCATGCGGATAACACGAAGCCAGGATGGGGATAACATCGGGTGAGGACAAAGCGAGAATCTCGGAGATCTAGCGGCTTTGGAGGATGTCTCGGGCGCCGCGGCCTTCTCAGAGCGTTCCGGAACGCTCTGAGAGCGTTCTGGAACGCCCTGAAGCGAATGTATCCTCGTCCCAGCCCCGTCCGAGAGATGCGCCGTCAGAAGACGACCGCACCTGGGACATAAGAACATCCTTCAAGAACATGACACCCTCCGCCAGGACAGAAAAACCATCCTTCAGGGTACGCTCCCCCAGGCTGCACAAGAACACCCGACAAGCACAGAGAACATTAGGGCACCCTCCCCGAACCGACCTCGATTTTAGACCTCGGTCCGACCGCATGTCCGGGGAGCGGTGGATATGGATGTCTGCCCGCCCACGCGGGCGGGCAGGTATCCACGTCCACCGCTCCTCGAGAACACAGGGCACGACTCCGAAGCGGTGGACATGGGCACACCCTGGCGGTGGTGGAGGAGGAGGCGTAGGGCGAGGAGGAGGCGGAGGACGAGGAGGACGAGGAGGAGGAGGACGAGGAGGACGAGGAGGACGAGGAGGACGAGGAGGACGAGGAGGAGGAGGAGGAGGAGAACGAGGAGGAGGAGGAGAACGAGGAGGAGGGAGGGAGGGAAGGAGCACGAAGGGAGGGGGCTGGGGAGAAGGGGAGGAGGGAGGAGGACGCGTTGCCCAGGAGCTGGGGGCAGAGCCCAGGCCGTGCCGCTTCTCGCCGCTCTGGAACTCGATGACCTCGGCACCGGCCCGCCAGGCCGAGCCCCCCCCCCCCCCGGGTGGGCGCCGACGGGAGACCCCGGCACAGCAGCTTCATGTCGTGTCGACGCGGGCGCTGGTTTCTGTTGAAGAAGAAGAAGAAGAGGAAGAAGAAGAAGAAGAAGAAGAAAAAGAAAAAATGCCATGAACATTTACTCATGGCGCTCCGCGCGGATTTCTTGGATCCCCGCTGACCCCCCTGGCGCGCGGAGCGCGCCAGGGGCGGCGCCGGGGGGGCCCAGGCGCGGATCCAAGAAACCCACGCGGAGCGCCACAAATTTATGTTTGCGCAAATTTTTCTTCTTCGATCCTGACAGCGCGTAGATGGCTCGACCTCGAACGATGGCGGCTTTCCAGTGGCACGGGCCCTGCGGGCTGGCGGTGCTCATTCCTAAACGCCCGCGCCAAGGCCGCCGCCGCCGCCGCGTCGACATGGAGCAGATGCCCGCCGCGGCGGGGGACGAGCGGGAGGGGTGCCAGGGAGTGGCCCCGAATGGCGCCTAAACCTAGGTCGGGCATGTCCTCCTATAGGCGGCTTTTGGTGCAAAAACGAAAAATCATCCAAAGGTATTCAACAACATATACTCTGGGTTTCTTGATAAGCGTGGGGGTACCCTCCCGACTGGGGTCAACCTCGCTTCGTCGTCGCGCCGCGACGGTGCTCGGAGCGCCTTCGGCGCGCGGTGGCTGCCCGCGACAGGGGTCGATGCGGGGCTGTCGGCGGGGGTGACGCCCCCCCGATGCTTACCAAGAAACTCCGAGCAGTCTCCTAAGACTGTTATCTTACTACTGTTGAACATATTCCGCCTGTAGAAAACGGACAGGCCCGACTTAGCGGGAGGGGTATGCAGGCGAGTGGCCCCCGAAGGGCCCCTTAACTGCCACCCCGCGTCCAAGGAGGGTGCTGGAAGAGTGCACCTGTTATCGACTCCTCCTCCTCCTCCTCCTCCTCCTCCTCCTCCTCCTCCTCATCCTCATCATCATCATCATCATCATCATCATCATCATCATCATCATCATCATCATCCTCATCATCATCATCATTCACCTCCTCCTCCTCCTCCTCCTCCCCCTCCTCCTCCTCCTCCCCCTCCTCCTCCTCCTCGTCCTCCTCCTCCTCCTCCTCCTCCTCCTCCTTCGCACCCCGGGCTGTCGCCACCTACGACCGTTCTTCGATCCTCGATCTCAGATCGATCGATCCTGCCGACGGCCGCGCCCGCGCGGACTGCGGAGCCTCGATCCTCGATCGCTCTTCGATCCTCGGCCCTCGATCCTCATATCGCTCTGCGACTCCTTGATCCTCATATCCTCCGCTCTTTGATCCTCACATTCTCGGCGGGGGTGGGGTTCGGAGTCCACCCCCCTCGGTGATCCTCAGATTGCGTGCTGGCGCCAGCGTGTGGTGCCCACCGAGGCCCTTCGGTTTGGCACCTGCGGTGCAGTGGAGGCCCACGCGGGATGCGCACCGTCGGCGGAGTCGAACGGGGATGCACGCAGTGGGCTAC